CCCCAAAACCCCAAAACCCCAAAACCCCGGGTTGGTTGTGGGTTGTTGAAAGAAAATTAGAGGTTAATATGATGGTTACCCACTGATACCGACTTTGTAGCCGTTTCTTCTACCTCTCCAGCATGATCCTTTGACTAGTTTGGAATATTTTGAGTACATATGATTTGCTTTGTGGTAAGAATTAGGGATATTGTGATCTCCATAGGAAAGACTTTGGTCTCTATCTTCTTCATGAATAGACCTATAAAATTATTTAAATAATACTTTGAGGGACCCTGATGCCTTTTTTGAAGCATTTTGGAATTTCGGAATGCATTTTTACTCCCACCTATTGTAGTTTTAGGCCTTGAATTATAGTCGTTGTTTGGAAATTTTGGATTATAATTGTAGCTTGAAATTTTGAAAGCAGGAGGTGATGGTACTTGATTCTTTGGATGAAGATGCTTCCAATGTTGTCTACTATTACTATGGATTTTATTTTCTAGTGCGGCCTTCTTGAGTTTGTGCTCTTGATTTGTTCTCCAGCTTACAAGCTACTCTATTTCCTCTCTTTTCTGGATAAAATTTGCTCATTGTTTGAAACTCAGCAGATTTCTGTGGACTTCGTCTCCTGATTGCATCAGTGAAACTTTTCGAAATTGATGCAAATAGACCTATAAGATATAAATCTACTAACGATGAAATTACCAGTCTTTGAACTACTTTGACACGAATTTTTGGCTCTTCCAATCCTGCTCTGGACTACTATTGCTGCTAAAAAAGTTGGAATTAGGTAAAATACCTTTATTTAGACCTCTCAGATTCCTTATGGTTTAAGTTATTTGTCTAAAAGATTAGGAGCTTTCTTACATTTGGCTTTGATCTTACAGATCATTTAGAGCTAAGATTTACAATATCATCAGTCTTATTATCATTTTTGGATTTCATACAGAAAACTTTCATTGGATTTGCCACTTCTGAGTAGTTTATCCCATCTGAAGGATGAAGCTCAGTTGAATCAGTTTTACTATTTGTATCATACAGAGATGGCATGTTCCTTCCTCTAAAAATTAGCAATTCTTCATTACTTATAAGGTGATTTTAGCTTAGTCTTTGGCCTTAATGAGTTCTTATTACTAAAGAACATAATATTTTGGGTCTATAGCATGTAGTCAAAGTAATTACGTCATAAGAGTCTGAGGCTCTATGGTTGTTTATAATCTCAATAGGATCGTTAAATTCAAGGCCTTTACTTGTAACCCTTCTTTCCAATAATCTTCTTCCATCCTATAACATTAGTAATGAGCTACCCTTTATATGGCTTAGTTTAATAGGATAAAGAAGGCTTTTATGCCTGATCATCTTCTTTGAATCAACAGGAACCTCTTGAGCATGCATCGTAAGATCTTGATCCACTTTAGAGTCTTGAGACATCCCTATAGATTTCTGAGGAAAGATCTTACTTCTTTTCTCAGCCGATTCAGGAGCAGTGGTTAGAACTTTAGTCATAAACGTATTTTTAATAACCTCTGCTATATTTTCGCCAACAATCTTCATATCTGTAGATTCTAGCCTATCTTTAGCCTTCATCTTCACCAATTTCAGAAGTTTCTGAGGTGACTGGGAGATCATTTTATACAAATTCTTCTGATCTGGACTCTCTGAATGGGGAAATAGGGATACATGGTCTAAACTAAAGCATAAAGGACTCCTTACATTCGATATTCATCTACTTTGTTCATACTAGTAGCTCTCTTCTGAGCTGGGATATTAATAAATGAGCTTTCTTTAGGACTGCTGGCCTCATTCCTCATTGGAGAGATCTGTGCATCCTTGTTCTTAATAGACCCATTTGTTATCTAATTTTTTCAGGGAAGTAATACTTGAGTCATATTTAAGTTTCTCTGGGCCCTCATAAAGCCAAGATCATCAAGCTGCACTCGCTCCTTGATTAAATCAGAAATATTTGAACTTCCTTGCAATTTACGGATGTTAAATGAAAGTTCATGTTTGAAAATCTACAAAAAAGTGTGCTGAGTATTTACCTTTTTCTTCTTAAACTTCGATCTTTGTTTAGCCATACTAGTTCGACTCTAATTTTTGAGTCTCTAAGCCTACCTTACAAACAGCTTGCTTGCAAGCTTTGGCTTGATTGTATGCCTTCTCACGGATATCTAAAATATAGTGCAAATAGTTATACATTTATTCCTCAGTTTGCCTAAAAATTAAGCTCCCAATTACCAAATGTTTTATTTATTGCTCTTGCTTTGGATCTCTATGGTGTCCGCCACTATTTCATGAAAAGTCTGATCGAATTCTAAGTTGTTTCTATCAGTAAGTGAAGAAGTTTACATGCTTGGTTTTTCGCTAGCTTCCCAATTATTCTCACTGAATATATGGGCTATAGAATTATGATGAGTTTTCTCACTCTGGCTATCGAAATTGAACCCTGAACTATTCTTGCAATGATTTCTACTCTAAAAACAAATATTTAGACTAATCCAAAGATAAAAATTTCATAAAGCTAAAAAATTTATCTAGAACAGTAATATTTACTTAAATTAGTCCTAGTCCTGACAACAGGACTCAGCTCCTGTAAATCACCCCCATTATCTTTATTGGCGACCTTATTCAGCAACACGCTTCTAAAATTTCCTTCCTGGACACCAACTGTACAAACGACCCCTGTCTCTACAACCTCACTTTCCTCTTCACACTTCTCCCCTGAACTCTCCCTTAAACCTTCCTTCTCCTTGCTCTCATGCACATGTCGACCCTTCAGGCTGCTCATAATAAATTTTAAATTACAATACGATTTTCTTCGGAAGGGGTTTTGGGGTTTTGGGGTTTTGGGGTTTTGGGG